TACTCCGGCCCTGGAAATCATAGTCCCATAATTGCCCCTAACTATTTGCCTGAGATGCAACCTATTCCCCTTGAGGATGGATTGTTATCCAAAGACCATGCATTTCAGAGTAAGCTGAAATATGTAACGTTGCGAGCTAGTCCTATTCATTAAAAGGGGTAATTGAGTTGTTCTTGGTTTTCCTCATGCATCCATCTGAATTTAACCATCATGATGATGCATGCCTCTGTTTTGCATGCATACTTCTCATTGATTAGCCTTGATTCTGCCTAGATTGATCTCTAGGCTGGCAACTCTTCATTTTCAATGATTTAAGTAGCCCCCTTAGGTCACTATTCCCTTCATTCTTCTATCTTGTGTGCCATAAAACCTGTTTTCACCTTAAACTACCTCTCCAATCCTAGTTTTCCGCTTGGTTTTTCGTTGAAGAAAATTCTAATCCCAGAAAGTCATGTTGTGTAAAGTAATTTTCACCACGTTCTCAGGAATGCTGATAAGCTCATATTTATATATATTTTATATCAAATTCACTTGTCTTTTCTTAGTTAGTTCCTTATATTTTTGAGTTATTTACTTTGTTTTTGTGTTTTGTAGGATTTGTCAAGCAAAGAAAAGAAAAATAGCACAAGTGAGATTTTAAGTAACAAATTCGTCAAAACTGTATGTGCAGGTCAGCTGATTTTGGAAGCAAGTTGCGGACAGCTCAGAATGAATTAGAGAATGAGCCTTACATGCTTGGAAAGCTACGGATGTCTATTTTCTGGAGCATTTCGATGGATTTTTAATATCATTTTTCTAGAAGAAGTTATGGCCGTTTTAACACTGAAAGGTTCCTAAGAGGCTGAGCAGTTTGTAACTGACAAGAAAGCATTGAAAGCAATAAATCCAATAAAACTAGTAGCCAAAACTGATGCAATCAAGAACAAACCAGCTGACACCTATTCAAATATCAGAGGAAATGGAATTAAAAGTGAGGATTAAGAGGGAGTTATTGGCATAAAGGCTACCCAAGGAGTTACAATTGTTTTACCATTTCCTCTCACTTATTGTCATCACTAAATGGCTACTAGTGGGTGAGTTAAGGAGAAGAAAATGATGCAGCAAGAATTGGTTTAAAAGTAGTGTTGGGGAAGGAAGGAAAGAGGAGAGCCTTAGTCGATTTCTTTCGGTTCTATTTTCTCAAACTCATGTCTATCTTTTGTTTTAACTTAAGGATTGTGTAACTAAATTTTTAGTAGTTAGGGGTTGTTTGAAGCCCCGAATATGATTGCAAGTTTGTTATGACATTTCATTTGAATTACTTTTATGAATGGATGAAAATTGATTCACTACTTGTCTCATTGATGAATTTTTTATGTGTTTTCTACGGATGCATACTTAGTAAGCATATCTAGGATTCTAACGCTATGAATATGTGTGTGCCTGCCCTTGTCAAATGAGGACCTACATATGTTCTAGAGTAATACTTGTTAATTGCGATTAACATGTGAACCAATTTCTAGGATAAGTAAGACAACGCCAGTACTTATGATGCCTTGTGATGACTCAAACTCTTTTCGTTCTTAATGATTTCTACTTGTTAAATATATGAACACACCCTTCTAGATTGCATGTTAGGGACTAAGTTAAGTTGAAAACGCCATTCTCTTAACATACTACATAAGAAAGAGTAATAGGTTGGGTTCTAACATTGAGCCAACTTGAGCATCTTCATCTAAAAATGAAAGGAATTTGAATGAAACATAACATGTTTGCATGATTATTTGGTGGTGGATAGCAATTCCACTAACTTGTTTTTCTTAATTTGTGAACTACTTAAAAATCTGTCTCTGTCTTGTTTTTGTTCGATTTCATTTAAATATCAAATCAACTCCAAAAATCCCAAAAACTTGTGTGAGTATAGCTCTGTGTGTCTAGTATATGCACATAAAATTTCATAGACTTTAAATAAGTGTAAGCCGGTCTAATAATTATTTTTCAGTGGCTGGTTAGTAGGGACAGCAGCCCAGTTTTTGTGACATTTTAAATAGTTAGATAAAACAATCTTCCGCGGGAAAGACCCTTATTTTCATATGCTACAATTGACAAATATTATTGTTAATAAGGAAAATTAATAGGACATTTGTATGCTACTTTGTGGTGTGCTTTTAATCCTATCAAATGCCTTCTTGCTTCTTGCAACTTGTTCTATAATATGCCCACTTCTTGTAACTTGTTCTATAACGTTCATCCCTTGTAGCACTCTTCATCCAGTCTTCGATGAAGGATAGGATCTACACGAACTGCGAAGATTCGCTGGAAGGTCCTACATCGCCGCTTTCTTCCTCATCTGTTCCTCACTGATGGTGATTGTGATGGTTCTTTGTTCAAACATTCACCTATATGGCACTCATGTGGCTTAAGTGTTGAAATCACACTAGAGTACCCATCACCAACCTTCTTCCTTGCTAGACATGTAGTGCAGAATTTGCACTGGAGTCCAATCCATTTGAGATGATGAGATGTTTTTGTGGCTTTGATAATAAACATGCATTTGTGCACACCAAACTATTGTACTAATTTGATCTCCTTTGTAATTTTGATAATAAACATGCATTTATGTAAGGATATTCCTATCTTTACGATTAGGAGCATTTTCCCTTTAGCTTATGCTACTTGACTAGGCTTTTACAAGGCACCTATTCTGGGCTGGTGTTACCCTTATATAAGTCACATAGGCGTTTAAATTGGCTTTGCATCCAACTCACCATTTTCCTTAGACTATATATGGTTTTTTGGCCCATATTGGGTTTTACCATAACAGGATTTTGTGAGACTTATTTCAATAAGGAAGTTCCCTGCTTGAGACTAACGTGTTCTCAGATCAATACTGACGAGGCGGTTTCCCCAACTTTGTCAAACGTTATGTTACATCTACTTGAGTATTTACACATTCACGGAGAAGTGTTATGAATATTATTTAGTATGTGACTGTGTAAATCCTAGTTAGGTTTGGATTCTAGATTATCCATTATTCTAGCGATTCTTTCCTTATAGGATTGTACTTACTTGGAGGACAAGGTCATCCTCTCCTCTTGGTTTACTATAAATAAAGGCACTGCCATAGAGAGAATCACAAAATCCCAAAGCATTCTACAATTTCTCCACTTTCTCTATTGATGTCGCACCGTCTCTCTCTCTCTCTCTCTCATATAAAATACGCCACAAAACTTTTGAAATTCACAAGGCTTTTTGGCCAAATGATCTTGGAGTGACATAACTCCTCACTTTAATCCTTGATTATATAAAATGATAGAAGTGGCCTTGAGTTTGACCGCTGTAAATCATTTTAGTCATTCTATGAAAAATTCGTCAATATCCTCAAGTCAAGTGGTTCATTTGACAAAAATACCCTTAAAATGGTGGTCACGTGGTTGTTCACGTGACAATTTAACAAGGATATCAATAGATTTTTCGCAAATGAACCAAAATAATTTATGGTGGATAAACTCAGGGACTAGTTTTATCAGTTTTCATTGTTAGTGACCAAAATAAGAAGTTATGTTAATCTCATAGATCATTTTTGGCTAAAACGGCAGTTATAACTGTTGCTATTTGCAACAACAATTTCTTATTAAGGCTTTAGGGTTGAGTTTTAATCTAAAAATCAATTAGATATAGGAGAATTAGTCCATTGCTAAACATTTCATGTGGGTCATTTCTTCGTATTCTCATATCTTAGTGCAGTAATATTAGATGGTGGATACACTCATTATTTTCCTTGATGATTTTAAAATTATGAAATCATAAAATGCGTGTCGCTTCTTGCTGCTCAAAATGATACTTTTCATCAAATCTAGCTTCTTATAATTTTTGTTGTTTTATTGATGAGGGGTTACGGGCATAGTTAGTAAATTCACATATTATACACGAATTTACATATTTTGAAAAAAAAATCTTCCATTTTCTATACACGTTTTAATGTTATGTTAAATTGCACGTTTTTTTTTTTTAAGTCAAACGTACAATACAAGTTTTTAAACATGTAAATGCATATTCTTCATGTTTAATACCAGTTATTGTCACATATTTTTTAATAATACATATAATTCACGTAATCAACACGTATTCTTAACTTAATATAATTATTTAATTAATTTAAATAAATACATAAATATTAAAATTAAAAAAGTAGCTGAATTTTTCAAAGTAAAGTCTTAGCAAAGTTGTTGAATAATACATGTACATATCTTTCACATATTATACCTATTCCGTATTTTACAAACTACCATTAGACCATCTCCAATGGTTGGGCTAAAAGCCAAATATTTTAGCCCGGAAAATTTAGCTTTTAGCCTAGAAACAGATTTTCTGCTCCAACCGTTCTAGCCTAAAATTTTAGCTCGGGATTATTAAAGAATAAACTTAGGCTATTTTTTTTGTTAAATTAAGTTTTAAAAAAAATAAATAAATATGTAAACTATCGTAAATTAATTTTATGAACATTTTAATCTAAAAAAATTTAAATTCCGATATATATTGGGTGAAGTCCACTCCGATTTCAGGGCTAAATTTTGAGGGGAATTTGGCCTTGGTTTAGCATTTAGCATTTAGCTCAAAATTTTCCCTTGGGTTGGATTGGGTTTGGGGGGGAAATTTTGGGAGATAATTTGACTTTTAGCCCACCATTGGAGTTGATCTTAGGGGCTAAAAGGCTATAAATATTCTGCGTAAATTTTTTAGAATCCCGAATTTTATTTATAAAAGTTTGCACTTCTACGCTGGAAGGTTTAACTTTATTATGCTAAATGAGTCAAAAAATCTGAATTGTTATTATTAATTAACTCTAAAGAAAATAGTTATCATACACTTCCAAATAGAATAACATTACAAAATGTGAAACGCACAAAAACTAAAGGCAGCCCATGATCAGCATAAATAGTACAAAGGCCACAAAGCAATTAAATTAAACGATGCAAACGCAAGCCTTATATCATGAATACAAATTAAATATGAAGAAGTGGAATTTTGCACTCAACTCACTTGAGTGAAACAATACTTTTCACATAAATAAGAGCTTGGAAATCTACAACTCTATTGAGAACCGGAGGAATATGAAGATATTTGAGATTTCCAGTACTAGAATTATAAGAGGTGGCTCTTCCATCGGAGGCAAGCATAAGAAGCTCGTCATTTTTCCAAAATGTCAATGGCTTCCCAATGGCTTGTAAGGGTCCAATGATTAGTAGTTTTGTCCATGAACTCTTTACTCCGTCATAGTCGTGCATTACCCATATTTCACATGATTCAGACTTCTCACTTTGATCGTAACGAGAGCAAAACGAAGCAAGGGATTCATTACAAAGAAAGATATAATAAAACTTAAAACCGGATTCTCTTCTAGAAGGCAATTGTATTCTATGAAATATATCATCACCTAAATCAAATGAAAGTATGTATTCCTCACCATCCGTTGCATACCAATAACAAAGTCCCTTCAAGTACACTTGACAAGAACAAGAATAAGTTTTAGTTGATATATCAATCTTGATCTCTCTCCAAGAGTTAGCAGCCGTGGTGTATACCTCAGCCGTGTGAGGAAGAGGAATACGATGATAATATGTTCGCTCATCATCTGAATACTCAGAATTTTCTATAATTTGCACAACCTTGTATTCTTTAGCTTTGCAATCATAGCCAAATCCTAATGCTCGAAAGACCGTTTCCAATTCGAATTTTCCCTTGGGACGGGAAGGTAGAAGAAGGCATGAACTGGGAAGTCGCATGAATTCCCTCGTTGTAGGATTGCATAAAAGAATAATTTTACCTGCTGTTACACAAACAATCCCATTGCAATAACCGAGAATCAATACGTAATCATGATCTTCCAACGGAAATGGTATATTTAGGTCCTCAACATCATAATGAAAGTTGTGCTCATCACTATCAATAGAAAGATTAATCATGGACCAGAAAACTTCTTGTTTCCAACTATTGTCTGGGAAGACATGAGTCTGAGAACGGTTGAGAAGGATACAAGTGGAGGATGAGAATTTGTTGTCCACAGAATTGCTGAGCTGTTGGGCCACAAAACTTGGACTATTGATGAGAGTGCACCAAGACTTGCGTATACATTTGAATCGCATCAGAGATTTGGGCGACAACCTGGACAAGATTTCGACTACCCTGTCTTCAAGAGTTTCACTTTCATGCACCTGGGACATTTTGGCAGTTTTGTTCCACATGAATTCTTCACACATATATATACACAGGAAAAAACACCACAAGTTTGAGAAAACTAAATCAAACTCCGAGTCTTTAAGGCCTGGTAGGTCAAGGTTCAATTACTAAACATATTACTACTAAGATGCTAATATCCAACTGTACTAAATTAACTTGGAATTCCATGACCACAACATATATAGCTAGCTATCAAAGAAAAAAGAAGCGATCTAGTAAGTTTCGAGTTTTATGGTGGACCATAGGTTTAAATTTTACTATATTTACTTTTTTTTTTGTTTTTTTTAATGATACACAAATAACCACTGAAATTTTACGTTTTAATTCTACATTGAGTTAACTAAGAAAGGAAAATTCACATAATCATACACAAGTTAATAAATTAAGCCATTTTTTCATTAGAAATACAATCACATAACCCCTTTTCATCTAAATTTACCCCAATTTCTATTTATACTTTGTAAAAAAGAAGAAACCACTTTGGAGATTTCAAATTTTCAAGAGGCATGTGCACCAATTTCTATTTATACTTTGTAAAAAAGAAGAAACCACTTTGGAGATTTCAGATTTTTAAGAGGCATCTGCACATATGGAACATTAGAACTACTAGGGCGTGGCCGAAGTGTGATCCAGTTCACCTAGTGGCCCAAACCCCAACCACCCCACCCCACACCCCCCCCCTTCCCTTCTCCTTAATTTTTTAGAAAAACTAATGAAAAGAGATTGAAAACTTTAAGTTTTAATGATATGGACAAAATAAAGGGTAAAGTGAATAGTACCAAGTTTGACTTTTTAGTGTAAAAATATAGTTTTTCGTTAAAGTGAACAATACCGTGGGTTTTTTTGTTAAAACTCCCTACTTTTTTAGTTTATATTTTTGCACAATTTTCCATGTAATTTGGATTAATTCTTAATTAAATAAATGAAAGTATATTTTTTTTCATGTGACCGATTCAATTAATTTATTTTTAGGTATGTTTAGTGGGAAAGTTAGTTGTCAAACATACAATGCAACTACAAACACCATATTGTGTGAACATCATTATTTTACTAATTTCATACCTAAAAATGCACCTCTAAAGGCCTTTTCAAGTCTATCCAACTTGAATAAGGGATACAACACCACCCATATCATGTTGTCCAATGGTACTAAAATAACCTTTAAAGGCCTTTTTTTTCTTTGAATATCAATAAAATTTTCCTTGTACCGTCAAGGTTCAATGTAAAAAAAGAGTTAATTAACACTTGGGTCTCTGATAAGGAAGTTGATCGTGGATTGTCAATAAGCCTGGAATTGAATCTTCCTTGGTCGGGTCAGAGCGCAAGCTAATGGTTTTGGCTATTGTACTCTCACCGTCTAAATTTTCTTTCTATTAATGTACTAAAAAAATTACACAACTTAATATATGGTATTTGAAACTATCTACTAAATTAACAAGATACATTATTATTATACAGAAATAGGTAGAGAGCTAGAGACCCTTTGGTGGCTAGTTCAAAGAGCTTTCCATGGAAGGAGAAAATGAAAACTCCAATCACAGCATCAGTCAGCACATATAAATTCTTAGCCTTCTTCAAGATCCCCACCCAGAGCTTGCTGAAAGTAATCTGCCTATGCACTGGGTTCTCGATCCTCTTCATTTGAACGTACTATATACCTTTGAGAGTCTTTTGATAGTAAGAGTAGGGGCCTTATCGTTCAGGTGCATATATATCCTCCTCCAGTGGCCAAGCCAGGATTTGCTGAGGGAAGGGGTGAAATTTAAAAGAGTACAAGGTTCAATCGAAGCATCACATTAGAGAATGCAAAGTTTTGGATCAATATTCATAGCAGAAATAGTCTCTCTACCAAAGCAGTTGTAAGCAATAATATCAAAGTCAATGTAAGAAGCTTAAATTGGTTGGGATTAGATCCTAAAAAAATGTTAGGCACTAGTCAAACAGCGGACTGAGACCTAGCAAGCCTAGGCGAGATCTAAGTAGGAGCCTAGATGGATTTAAATTATTGTAAAATAAGCCTTAAACAATATTTACATTGGTTTTAAAAAGTAATACAATATTTATAGATATTATGAGAGTTTAAGATAAATATGGTAGGAGCCTTAAAAAAGAAAATAAAAATACATACAAGAATAAAAAAATTAAAAAAAGGAGAAAAATGAGTTAACAAACCACAAAAAAGAGGTGGGATCAGAAGAGAAAAAAAAGGGACAATAATTGGGTACTCTCTAGTGAGTACCCATTATACTGAACTCATGAAGTGGCCCAATAAAAGTATAATCCACTTGTCATATCTAAAATCTCCCAAAACACTTACTGCCTTTGTTACCAAACACTCATCATCTTCCTCCTCCCAACTTCTATTTTTCAATCAATTCCAACCCTCTTCCCAGCGACTGCAACCCCAATCTTCTCCAGCGAAACCATCTTCTCCCTCCCCTCTGCTATGGCTCTTCATCACCACACCCTAAATAAAACAAAGAACCAATATCCTTTGTTTGCCATGAATTCTCACTAGCCAAACACCACCCTCAAACCTTTCACCCACCAAATACCAGTGGGGACCACGGCAGAACCATGGGAAATCTGGGTTGAACGAGGAGACAAAAGTGGTGTTGACGAAGGAAAGCGGTTGGAGAAGGAGACGGCAACCCAATTTTTTTTTTCAAATATGGATAAACAACCAAATTTCATTGCAACCTGCCACCAATCCTTATCTCCTCCGGCTACCCACCTCCACTCACTCTTTTCTACAGGAAGACCGATTCGTCATCCTTCTCTTGAACGACGGCTATTGCTGAAGACTGTTTCCTGCGCAGTAGCAGAAACCAGACTACCGAAGCGGGAATTCTCATTTTCGACGAGAACGGAGGGGCTAAAGGAGCGCTTCTAGTTGTGTTTTCCGGCAAAGGGAAGGGAGGCCGCCACTCCTCGTCCTCACGTATCTTCGCCACTGTCCTCCTCCTTCATCAGCTAGTCAATGATATTAAATGAAATATATATTTTTTTTAATTTGTGGTACGGTTCAGTTTCAGTTGGGTTTCCAATGTTCAAAACCGAAACCAAATTGTTTTTTCATACTGTAGTTTGGTTTCAAACCAATACCATTTCAGAACCGCAAAAACCGAACCTTTTTCTAAGTTCACCACTGCATCGTCCTTATTTAGAAAAAGGTGAAAAAATTCATTTTAATGGAGCGTGGATAGAAATTAGGGTGAACTTAAATGCAAAGTGGTGTTTAAATAGAAAAGTTCTTAGTTGTAATAAGGAAGCAGTCATGTGATTGTCTTTCTAATGAAAAAATAGCTTAACTAATTAAAATTCGTGTGAATATATGAATTTTCCTTTGTTAGTTAATTGAAATCATGTGATGTTACATGTTCACCCATATATGAATATCATGCTCACCTCATCTATATAATGTAGACTTGTAAAGTAAAATTTGAATGGTTTTATATGAATAAAAAAATAAAAAATAAATAGTAAATTGAACGTATGAGTTTCCATAAAAATTGCAACTGACTAAATCGCCCATGTTTTCCTTAAAAAACTCGCCAAATCTGGATTGGCCTTGTTTTCTTCAATAGCTAAATATGATGTGGTTATGGAACTTCAAGTTTATTTAGTACTAATTGGGCATATGATGTGGTAATATGTTTAATAATTGAACCTCGATCTACCAGGCTTTAGGGACTTGGAGTTTGATTTAGTTTGTGTCTTAAACTTTCGTGTTCTTTACTGTGTATATATACGAGTGAAGAATTCATGTGGAACAAAACTACAGGAATGTCCTAGATGCGGAAAAGTGAAACTCCTGAAGATAAGGTGGTCGAAATCCTGTCGAGGTTGCCGCCCAAGTCTCTCATGCGATTCAAATGCATACACAAGTCTTGGTGCACTCTCATCAAAAGTTCAAGTTTAGTGGTCAAACACCTCAGCAATTCTATGGACAACAAACTCTCAACCTCCACTTGTATCCTTCTCAACCGTTCTGAAATGCCCGTTTTCCCGGACAACAGTTGGAAATATGAAGTTTTATGGTCCAGGATTAATCTTTCCATTGATAGTGATGAGCACAACCTTCAATATAATGTTGAGGACCTAAATATACCGTTTCCAATGGAATACCATCATCCTGTATTGAGTCACGGTTATTGCGATGGTATTTTCTGTGTAATTACAGGGAAAAATGTTGTTTTATGGAATCCTGCAATTGGGGAATTCAGACAACTTCCGATTCATGCCTTCTTCTACCTTCCCCTCCTGATGGAAAATTCGAATTGGAAACGACCTTTCGGGCATTGGGATTTGGCTATGATTGCAAAGCTAAAGAATACGAGGTTGTGCGAATTATAGAAAATTGTGAATATTCTGATGACAAGCAAACATATCATCATCGTATTTCTCTTCCTTACACTGCTGAGGTATACTATACAACGACTGGTAACTCTTGGAAAGAGATCATTGATGTATCAAGTAATGCCTATCCATGTTCTTGTTCAGTGTACTTGAAGGGATTTTGTTATTGGTTTGCAACAGATGGCGAGGAATACATACTTTCATTTGACTTAGGAGATGAGATATTTAACAGAACACAATTGCCTTCCAGGAGAGAATCCGGTTTAAGTTTTATAGTCTTTTTCTGTATAATGAATCAGTCACTTCTTATTGTTCTCATTACGATCCAAGCGAGCATTCTAAATTATTTGAAATATGGGTGATGGACGACTATGATGGAGTGAAGAGTTCATGGAAGAAACTCCTAACTGTTGGACCCCTTAAAGGCATTCGTTATCCATTGACACTGTGGAAGGGTGACGAACTTCTTATGCTTGCCTCCGACGAAAGAGCCACCTCCTATAATTCTAGTGCCGGAAATCTCAAGTATCTTCATATTCCTCCTATTATCGATGAGGTCATAGATTTCAAAGCTCTTATTTATGTGAAAAGTATGGTTCCAATTAAGTGAGTTAATGCTACAGTTCCATTTTCTCCTATTTAATTT